ACATTATAAGTGTAGTACTTAGTGGAATTTAGTAAACCTTCTCTTTTCCAATAGTTTCCTTGTCTGTTCCCATTTCCGTGCCAGTAATGGCTTTTTAAACCTATGGTATTCCTCATTGTTGAGGGATGGGCAATTAAGCTGTGGGTTGGGATTAGTTTTCACTCCTGCAGGTCACAATACTATGTGGTTCTGCATCAGAAATGACTTCACAGTGAAACTGTTCTGTCTGCATGGTTTGGTGTGTTTGGGGTGGATCTAATTTTTGAATTAAAATTGGGGTGTGGCTTGGGGGCCACAGAGATAAGGTCGGGGCAGAGTTCTCTCTCACTCACATACACCGTTTTAGCTGGTTTTATAGTAATTTGGGAGTCACTCCTTGGAAATATGCTAGATTTATTTTAGAGATGCTTGATGTTTCTTCATTTGAAGTCAAATGTAATTATGTTAATGTCCTTGGAAATGTTCCCCTTCCTTGTAAATTGGATTTGATAGCACTAAGGTCACTGTTTCCAATTAGTTCAATAACACTGACATCTTGTACTACATCCTGAATACTGTTTAGGATGAAATCCAAGGACTCCTCCTCTCTGGTTGGTTCCATGATCAACTGTTCTAGGCTGCAGTTGTTTAGGGTATCCAGAGGTTTGTTGTGATGGAAGGGTCCATTTTATCCAATATCAACTCAAGGCAATTTAATTTATCTACCCATATTATTTCAATTTAGATAGGTTCCTGGACATCACCTGCCATCATAGAATTGCCCTGAGTGATTTGGTCATCATGCCTCCCATATAAAATTACTGTATTTCACTGGATAATCATTGTACCCCCCCCCCCCAACTTTAGGTTCCAATTTTTTTTTCTTTCCTCGCGTAATTGTCCCAGATAGATTTAAACTGAACTAAACCACAGCTCTCCTCAAMGGTTGAACAAACACTCAGCTCTCCATGCTTCCCTACTCAGGTAGCTTAAACACACAGAGCTCCCCTTAATTCCTCCTCTTCGCCTTGGAGGTAAGACCATTAAAAAAAAAAGGCAAACACAAGATACAATTTTTTCATTGCATAATACTCACCTCCCTTTTTTTCCAAAAAAAAAAAAGGGATAAAAATGTGACTATTATGTGACTATTTGGGCTTTGGCAGTAGCAAACAGGTAGCTATATCCAAAAGTCCTCTCCACGGTTCCAGGTTAATTTGTTGTCACCTTTCACATTGTGGGTGATATCTTTGGATTATAAACTATTTCCTACATATTTATACATGGCTATCATGTCTCCTCTCAGCCTTCTCTTCAGAAGGCTAAACATGCCCAGCTCTTGAAGCCGCTTCTCATAGGGCTTGTTCTCCAGACCCTTGATCATTTTAGTTGCCCTCCTCTGGACGCATTCCAGCTTGTCAACATCTCCCTTAAATTGCCATGCCCAGAATTGGACATAGTATTCCAGGTGAGGTCTGACCAAGGCAGAATCGAGGGGTAGCATGACTTCCCTGGGTCTAGACACTAGACTCCTATTTATGCAGGCCAAAGTCCCATTGGCTTTTTTACCTGGTGCATGACATTGTTGGCTCATGTTTTAACTTGTTGTCCACGAGGACTCCAAGATCTTTTTCACACATAGTGGCATCCCCCATTCTGTAGCTTTGCATTTCATTTTTTCTGCCTAAGTGGAATGTCTTACATTTGCCCCTGTTGAACTTCATTTTGTTAGTTCTCTAGTCTGTTAAGATCATTTTGAATTCTGTTCCTGTCTTCTGGGGCATTAGCTATCCCTCCCAATTTGGTGTCATCTGCAAACTCGATGATCATGACTTCTAACCCTTCATCTAAGTCAAGGACTTGCTTTGTTTTAAGGAATAATTGTCCTTTCTGTTGGCTTCCAGAAATTTAATCCTTTTTTATGAAGAAAAAAGTAGCCAGGAGAAACTCAAAGCGTAGCAAAGTTTGGGTTGGGGCCACATATTGCCTCGCCCTGTGTTCAGAGGCATGGCTAATGAAAGGGCCAGGGCATCAGTTCCTCTAAGTTGAAGGGCAGATGGCAGTAAAGCCAAGTGTTTATTCTGGCAAGGTAAGGAGGAAACCAACTTCCTGCAGCTGCTCCTTCTCTGCCTGAGGATGGGGTGAAGTTGGTCCCCCACCTCCGGGCCAGGATGTTTTTCCTGGGAGGCAAGGAGGCCCAGTGGCAGAGCCTAGAGCCTATGCCTCATTTCTGCTTTCCAGTACTGAAACAGCTGGCAATGGGAGCCAAGGATACTTTCTGGCAGGCAGCTGGAAAGAACATTAGCCATCATAACCTGTGCCTCTTTTCTCTCGTATTATTTCGCCCATGTTTCCTAGCTTTTCATTTTCTCTTGTAGAGCTGGCAGTCAAAAGTAAGTTTCTGGCTCTGGAGTCAGAGCTCTCCTTCTTTTCACAATAGTGGCATTATTGGTCTCCATGTAGTTCCGCTGAACATGAAGCAAAACCTTTATTACTTCCTCTTCCTGCTTCCATTGCATTCAGCCTTGCGGATTCTTAACGTAAAACCTCATTTATCCTTGGTGGTATTTTGTGAATCTGTCTTCATTTACCGTGGCAAGCTGCAGCCAGCCCTTGTCCAAATAGGATGTGGGAAACATTTTCAACCATTCCTTCCAGAGCAGAACCCCTTATATTAGTTGTTTGCATTCAGGTTGAGCATTCGCCTTAAAGGCTTCATCTGGGGAAACACCATGCTTCCTAGTTGTAAATAATGTGTGCAGTGAGCCAACTTCCTCCTTACTGTTTTCCTCTTTGAATTCATAAATATGCTGAACATGCTGGCTTTTGTGTTAGGTAATCATTGCTTCTTATAGTTAATAAGTATTAACTTCATGAAGGTGATGTAAAAATCAATAATTACTTCTCTTTTTCTTGCTGAGTCTACTAACATTCTTTGTGCTAGATTAGGTAGTTGTACTTGTAAGAGTTCCAGAGTAGTGCAGTGGATTGGAAGTTGGACTAGGACTCTGAGACCAGCGTTTGAATCCTTCCCCCAGTCATGGAAACTCCACAGGGGGACATTGTGCATGCCATATTGTCAGCCCAACAGAAATGCAATGGCAGCCTTCTTTTAAGGCAGTGGTTCTCAACCTTCCTAATTCTGCAACTCCTTAATACAATTCCTCATGTTGTGGGGACCCCCAACCACAATATTATTTTCGTTGTTGCTTCATAACAGTAATTTTGCTACTGTTATGAATTGTAATGTAAATATCTGATATGCAGGATGCATTTCCATTCACTGGACTAAATTCACTGCACAAATACCTAATACACCTAAATTTGAATATTGGTGGGATTGGGACTGATTTTGTCATTTGGGAGTTGTAGTTGCTGGGATTTATAGTTAACCTACAATCAAGGAGCATTCTGAACTCCACCATCGATGGAATTGAACCAAACTTGACACAAAAAACTCCAACAACAAATACTGGAAGGGTTTGGTGGGCATTGATCTTGAGTTTTGGAGTTGTAGTTCACCTACATCCAGAGAGCACTATGGACTCAAAGAATGATGGATCTGGATCAAACTTGGCACAAATACTCAATATGCTCAAATGTGAACACTGGTGGAGTTTGGGGAAAGTATAGCGTGACATTTGGGAGTTGTAGTTGCTGGAGTTTGGGGAAAGTAGACCTTGACATTTGGGAGTTGTAGTTGCTGGGATTTATAGTTCACCTACAATCAAAGAGCATTCTGAACCCCACCAACGATAGTATTGGGCCAAACTTCCTACATAGAACCCCCACGAACAACAGAAAACACTGTGTTTTCTGATGGTCTTTGGCAACCCTTCTGACACCCCCTTTGCGACCCCCCCAGGGGTCCCAACCCCCAGGTTGAGAAATGCTGTTCTAAGGACATGAGTGCAATTACAGCAGGATAGAAACACTTTTGGAATAGACTTTTTATGCAGTGATATGGCTGTCCCATAGTGACATTGTGCTTGAATTGTGATTAGATCATCTCATCAATGAAACCACTATTATTTATTATTTAAAGCATTTATATTCCACCCTTCTAACCCCGAAAAATATCACTATTTTCCACCAGTTTTCTTTGTATGATAATGTGCTTTACTGTAGTCCCGATATTGTGAAGTGGAGGAAGGTCTTGCAAGAATTCTGCAGCTGCACAGTTGTGGCGAAATAGAGAGTATAAAAGGAAAATTGGGGACAGACAGACACAGAGCACATGGGCTGGGCTTTGCAAACATGGGTAAGAAACAAGGCCACGTGGAAGACTGTGTGAATTCACATCAACAAAGTGCTAATATTACGCATTTGTAGCAAGGCATGAAAGTGGTTGTTCCAATAATGTTATGTTTCCATGTGCTTAAACAATGCTGTTGTAATGAGAACAGGCATGAAATGGTCACCATATTATGAGAGGGTCATCATAGCTTGCAGTCTGCTTGAAGGCATATAACAACAACATGCCAGTGGTAATATACAGAAATGCCCAATGTTCAGTTATCATAATTTAATATGATGTTTTATTTTGCTTGTGCCAGTGTTTAATTTTATAGTGCATCTTAATGATGGCTCATGGTCCTCTGGATGTCTTCATCCAGGATAATGTCCTAGTAAGCTGCCTTGAGACAGAATTGGGAGTATGGCATCCAATCTGGAATGAATTGCTTTTTTCACAGTGGATCAAAACTTGGGGACTTTTTGAGGACTAAAACTCCCCAAATGGCAAGATTGCTAAGGTCAGTGGTTCTCAACTTGTGGGTCCCCAGATGGAGTTGTAGGCCAAAACACCTGGGGACCCACAAGTTGAAAACCACTGTCTTAGGGGATTATGGGAGTTAGAGTTTAAAAATAATGTTTTCAAGCTCTGGGAGAGAGTTGAAGTGAAAACATATAAATCCCTCCAAATATGTTGTCTCATTGAGGTTTCAAAATGCTTTGGTTTTGAGAGGGTCATTGCTCAGCTTCCTGTAGTAACTGATGGTTTCTGTTTCTCTTTTTTGCAGATTGTGGGATTATCTGCTGTGCTATGATGCCAGGGCAGATTCCAGACCCCTCCTTGACAGCTGGCGCCCTGCCTGGCCTTGGCCCCTTAACAGGATTGCCTGGTACCACATTGACAGCAGAAGAGCTGAAGTATGCTGACATTCGCAGCATTGGGGCCATGATCTCCCCACTGCATTTCCTGGAGGTGAAACTGGGCAAGAGGCCTCAGCCAGTGAAGAGTGAGGTGAGTTCCAGTCCAATTCTGTGTTTTCAGAGCCTGGGAAAGTTACTTTCTTGAACAAGCTTGCAGGGGATGGATAGATTTCTTGGACATCTTCACCAAAAATCAGAGGTCACCAGAACTAACTTCTTTATGTTCGGTGTCTATGAAAAACTGCAGGGAAAGAGTTCCAAATTTACTTGGAAATGTTTTGGGGGCATTTAAAGATGAAATTGCACACTGATGCTAATCTTGAAGGAAGTATATAGCCATTGTCATTAATGATTTCTTTTCACCTTGACACTATTTGTTAGTATTATTGTGCCTCCTTGAAAGACAAGAGACTGCTGGTAAAGTCTCTCAAATCAGACTTTTGCCGACTAGATGCACCAAACAGTAGCAATAGTGTGTGCTTGTGTTTATGGTGTGTGTCTGTATGTATGTATGGATGTATGTATGTAAAGATTTCTCTGAGAAAACACCAGTGGCACTCTGCACAGAAGAAGTCAGTAGACTACTCCTGAATGCCATATATCTTGAAAAATCTATGATGCGACAATCCAAAACAAAATAAGATATAGTGCCAACACATGAGGCCATCAGGTTGAAAGGCATTCAGTCAGAACAGAAGACAAGTATGAATCACTCTGTGGTTAAAGATGCAGCTGGACTCAAGCTAAAAGAGCATTCCGCTGTTGACATACACAAAGGTGAAAGAAAAGTCCAGAGTTGCTCAATGTATGTAGTAGGAACATGGAAACAGGAAGATATCCCTACCACTGACGAGCGGTTAGGGAAATTAAGAGAAATAAGAGAAATGGACGAATTAACTTTTTTCTTGAAAAAGAATACCGGGAACCCGATAAAGAGGACAGATTGGACTCTATATGAAAATTACGAAAAGGAAATAAATAAATAAGAGGAATACTATGAAGTGGATGTAATGGAAATATCATTGAGGACGCAACACCTGATGGAGAGATGGAAGTCAATTTTTATTTTATATATATTTTTTCTTTTTTTCTTTTTTTTCTTTATTTTGTGTGGCTTTTATATTTTTGTATTTTTTGGTGGACTTGGGGGTAGGGGGACTTTTTTCCTACTTTCCTATCATCTTTTTTAATATTCTCCCTCTTTCGATGTTATTCTTAAAACCTTAATAAAAACTATTATAAAAAAATGTATGTAGTAGGAACATGAAATGTAAGACATATGAATTGGGGAAATCTTAAAATTGTAAAAGAGGAAGAATAGAGAAATCTGTGCTTTGTGTGAGTGAGCTAATGTGAACAGCAATGATACATTTTCTATCAGATAATTACAATGTTTTGGTAGAAATGAGCTAGCATAAATAGTAAGGCAAGATGTAACAAAAGCAGTCAGGGGATACAATGTGAAATCTGAGTGAATACTGTCAAGAAGACTCCAGGAAAAATCAACTTTAAACTAGGTTTATGATCCTACCATAGAAGTAGAAAAGGAAGAAGTCACAAGATTCAACATGGGCATCCAGGAAAATACTGATCACACAGTGAAACATGTTGGGTTTCATCCCTGGACCGAACAAGTTTTTGTGTCATCAAGTTTCTAGTCCCCAATGAGTAGCTAGACTAGGGGCAGGGCTAAGTTCAGTGATTCCTTTCCCCACATTCCTATGTTTCCTAAAGGGCTTTGTCTTTATTGCTAGCCACTGTCTCCTCCCTCTTTGATGACGTCGTAATGGAATTCTGTGAGGAAACTTTCTTTTAAGTTTGAACTGCTCCGGGAAGGCCATGTGGTCTCCACTATTCCTCTTCTGCTTTTCTTTCTCCCAATGAGGACACATTTTGCCTCTCTGCAGGCAAAATGTAGCTGCATGGACCTTTTTTACCATTCACCTTCTTTAGAAGATGAGATTTAGTAAGCTAATTAGCTCCAAGACTTTTCTATCAAGAATGTATTTCTTTTTACTTTAATAAATATTTTTGAACCCAAAGTCCTGACTCTGCAATCCTAAGCCACCAGAAGTAATAGAAGCCTATCCCTTCTCACCACATGTAAGTTTCTGGTGATTATGGTGTTTACTCCTGGAACTCTGCTATATTTTGGAGGAATTACTCTAATTGAGGTTTATTTGGGCACCACAATTCAAGAGAGATATTGACAAGCTGGAATGTGTCCAGAGGAGAGCGACTAAAATGATAAAAGGTCTGGAGAACAAGCCTTATGAGGAGCGGCTTAAGGAGCTGGGCATGTTTAGCCTGAAGAAGAGAAGGCTGAGAGGAGATATGATAGCCATGTATAAATATGTGAGAGGAAGCCACAGGGAGGAGGGAGCAAGCTTGTTTTCTGCTTCCCTGGAGACTAGGACGCGGAACAATGGCTTCAAACTACAAGAGAGGAGATTCCATCTGAACATGAGGAAGAACTTCCTGACTGTGAGAGCTGTTCAGCAGTGGAACTCTCTGCCCCGGAGTGTGGTGGAGGCTCCTTCTTTGGAGGCTTTTAAACAGACACTGGATGGCCACCTGTAGGGGTGCTTTGAATATGATTTTCCTTCTTGGCAGGGGTTGGACTGGATGTCCCACGAGGTCTCTTCCAACTCTTTGATTCTATGATTCTATGATTCTATTTTTGAGCCCAACCGCTCAGATTCCCCAACAAAACAAAAGATGCTGATAATAGTGGAGTAAGAAACACAGCAGAACTAAACATTATAGGAAAATTCGGCCTAGGACAACAAATGCAGGAGAACTACACGCTGAATTTTGTGAAGTCAACAATTGGTTCATTGCAAATTTGGTGCTTCTATAGTCTCTTTCTGAAAAAAAAATGTTTTTATGAAGAGCTCATTTCCATTTCTAACTTTTTAAATATATGTTTGTCATTAATTGTTATATTAATCAATTTAAGACTTAACATAATTGTCAAGAATAACCACAGTTATCCAGATTATTAGAAGTTGGCCTCGAGATTCCTAGCTCAAATCCTATCTCTCCTCCACTAGAAACATTATTTGCTTATTGTCAAGAAGGCAAAGTTATCTGGGAAGTTTACAGGTTTGAAGAAGTAGTGGCAAGCCTGCCCTGAAGGAAACTAGCATTGTGAACTGGTTGGAGAGATGGATTTCAGTAGAGGAGAGATCCAGATTCCAAATTTTATTCAGCTGTAGCTCTCTTTGTTATTTTTAGGAATATACTATTTCTTCCACTACACAAACTTGCTGTTAGGAAAACACAAGGAAAGGGAGAACAACATATGTTGCTCTGAGTTCTTGGAAGAAGGTCAGGGCATTGCAGTAGTATGATGGCCTTCAAGCAGCTCTAGCTTGGCAGAATTATTCTTTTTTACTTGCACTCTGCAAATCTGGGAGTTCGTAGTCTAAAGGGGTAATTTTTCAATGCTTTCTCTGTGCAGATACACTCAATAGAAAATCCAGTAGCAGTAGCAGATGAAAAAGGCAGTAAGCAATATTCACAGTGCTTCTGATAACAGTAGTTCATAAAGACCCCTACTTTATACTGTGGATAATAAAAAGGTATCCCCTGATATTAAGTCTAGTTGTTTCCAACTCTGGGGGTGGTGCTCATCTTCATTTTTTAGTTAAAGAGCCAGCATTGTCCATAGACACCTCCAAGGTCATGTGGCTGGTGTGACTGCATGGAGTGCCGTTACCTTTCCACGGAAGGTAATGACACTCCATTTGCATGTTTTTGAACTGCTAGGTTGGCAGAAGTTGGGCCTTACAGTGGGATCTCACCCCACTCCCTGGATTCAAACAGCCAACCTTTCGGTCAGCAAGTTCAGCAGCTCAGCGGTTTAACCTGTTGCGCCACCGGGGGGGGGGGGGGGGGGCGCTAACTGTGAATAGTAGGCATTGGCATATTTGTAAGGGGAGAGGAAAGAATCTGAGAGAAGCAGCCATGGCAATGTCGCAAAGAAGGAGACATGAGAGAACATTCCCGCAGTGTAATAGCCAGGGTTTTGTGGTTAAAGACTGAACCTTGCTCAAAGATCTTTGTGCAATAGTTATTTAGAAGTTTGTTTTGGGATGGGTCTTTGTCGTCTATTTTGCCATGAGCTTCCCACAAGGAGACTTGTTATATCGGCGGCTGCTGCTTCTTCTTTTCCTTCAGTTGTAATGGTGTACTTGGTTCTTTTCCTTTAGCTAGATGAAGAAGAGGAGAGGAGGAAAAGGCGGCGAGAGAAAAACAAAGTTGCAGCTGCACGATGTCGGAACAAGAAAAAGGAGAGAACAGAATTCCTGCAGAGGGTGAGTTGATGCCAATACAGGATTTGCTATTTCACCATGTCTTCTTCAACTCTTTGGAGGAGTTTGGGAAAGTTACTTTTTATGGATTACAGCCACAGTTCAGAGATTCTGGGAGTTATAATACAAAGAGAGAGAGAGAGAGAGAGAGAGAGAACTTGACTATGCTCTGGTCCAGCATATCAATTTAAGATAGGTGAAAATATCTGCACAAATCTTATTTTTGCAGAGGGTTCTTCATTAATTTCCCTCTGTTTGAACGTTGAACAGTTTATGGGCATCAGTGCAGTGAAGGATCTTTTGACAAGTAAATGTCGGACATAGTGCTTTCCTTAATATTTGTAAGGTATAAAAGGTAATGGTAAAGTTTTCCCCTGACAGTAAGTCTAGTTATGACTGACTTTGTGGGGTGGTGCTCACCTCCATTTCTAAGCCGAAGAGTCAGCATTGTCCATAGACACCTCCAAGGTCATGTGGCCAGAATGACTTCATGGAGTGCTGCTACCTTCCCGTAGGAAGGTAACACACTTGCATGTTTTTGAACTGCTAGGTTGGCAGAAGCTGGGCCTAATAGTGGAAGCTCACCCCGCTTCCTGGATTTGAACTGCCAACCTTTCAGTCAGCAAGTTCAGCAGTTCAGTGGTTTAACCCGCTGCGCTACCAGGTGGCCTATGTAAGGTGTAGCATCTTCTTATATTGAGGCTAACAAGCTGAAGTTTTGGTCTGTTTCTTTTCTTTGGCTCTGTCTTAGGAATCTGAGCGCCTGGAGCTCATGAATGCTGAACTGAAGGCCCAGATAGAGGAGTTGAAGCAGGAGAGGCAACAGCTGATCTTGATGCTCAACCGTCACCGTCCCACCTGCATTGTGCGGACAGATAGTGTCAAAACCCCGGAGAATGAAGCCAACCCGCTGCTCGAACAGTTGGAGAAGAAGTGAAAGGAGAATGGTGGGGGAAGAGAGAAGTAGGTTGGTGAAAGCCAAAAAAACTCCAGGATCTCTGAGCATCTCTCATCTATGTACTGTACGGAGAACTCAGCACTAGAAAGGAGTGCGAACCGAACACAGTGAGCTTCCTTGGGGACTGTACATTCCAAGGGAGTGGAGGAGATGATTTTGGAACTATCATAACCATTGGGGAGAGGCCTTTCTGGTGCTTCATCATTGCACGCTTAGAAAGCCTTTTGTGCATCCCGTGGCAGTGCAATCCAAGTCTGGAACATGTTGGGATACTAAGCAGTAGTATTGCGGCTCCCACTCCCCCAACCCTTTTTCTTGCAGCTAATGCTGGCAGTCAGCAGAGATGGAAAAGTTTGGACACCAGAGAAATTGGGGTAGGAGGAAGCTGGGGGAAGCAAAGTTGCGGTTGAGTGTTTGGTTCTGCATCCTTCCTGTTTTGGGGGGCCGCTGCCTCTACAGTCTCCCTCTGTCCAGAACTAAACCAGAAACCAAGAATGGCAAACACTTGACACAAGTCCTGCCTCATTGCTGGGCCTGTCTGTGGCATTGTGGCGCAGGCGCCCCCCACAAGCACACCCTCTGTATAATGTTTACAGCCCAGCTGTCCAGGCCATGCTTTTGAGAAAAAAATGCACATTTTTACACTTTTTATATTTTTATAAAGTTTTTTTATACAACAGTCTCTATATGGATTTATATAATCACTAGATGTGATCCCATAGAAATGTATGTTATTATGGTCTTTTGTTACAAAAGCATATGCCACAGTTATCTCCATTGTGTTACTTGTTTTGGCGGTGGCCGGCTCCTTTCCCTCGGCATGTTGGGATAAGGGCCCGTGCCTGTTGCATCGGCTCCCCCGCCACGTCCATCCATGTATGTCCTTCATAATACTCAGTCCTGTATCTCTCAGTAAATGTTAACTTTTACTTATCCTCCTATGTTCTGTATTTTTATTTTAATACATTACCTCTATGGGATTTTAATATGCTTTTGACAATTTGTGGTAATTGCTTGTAAAATAAGCCATGTTCTGGGATAATCAGAGCTGTGATAGTGCTAAAGACTGAAAGCCAAGGCTGAGTCATTCACTTGTGGGATAAAGAATGCCGAGGCTGGAAGTTGACACTCGCTAGAATTGCTGTGCCTGATTTCTCATCTGTGAATGAGATAACAGCCTTCCCAATCTGAGGGCTCTCCGGATATCTCTAGCTACAATGCCAATCCTTCCCACTCATGGGCTGAGGATGGTGAGTATTTGAGGAGTCATGGGAATTGGGAAGCTGAAACAGATAATATTTAAGTTACATCTGGAGAAAAAAAAACCTCTCAAGATGTGGATATGCGGATATGCGGAGAATCACTGCAGTGAATCACTGTAAAAGTCCCATTCTTTGTCCTTGCCAGAGAAACTGTGCCCTCCAGACATTTCATGAAGTATCTGCCATACAAACAAAGTTTACGGGGTAGCACTGCTTCTGGCCAAGTCAGCACTGCATAGGAGACCCTGGTAGCACAATGGGTTAAACCAGTGGTTCTCAACCTGGGGTCCCCAGATGTTTTTGGCCTACAACTCTCAGAAATCCCAGTAAGTTTACCAGCTGTTGGGATTTCTGGGAGTTGAAGGCCAAAAACATCTGGGGACCCCAGGTTGAGAACCACTGGGTTAAACCCTTGTTCCAGCAAGACTGAAGACTGACAGGTCGCAGGTTCAAATCTGGGGAAAGCACGGATGAGCTTCCTCTGTCAGCTCCAGCTCCCCATGTGGGGACATGAGAAAAGCCTCCCACAAGGATGATAAAACATCAAAACATCCAGGCATCACCTGGGCAACGTCATTGCAGACAACCAATTCTCTGATAACAGAAGCGACTTGCAGTTTCTTAAATGGCTCCTGACGTGAAAACAAACAAACAAAAACAAACTAAAAACACTGCACTATCAAACAGGAACACACACACTTTCAAACCAAGAACAGAACTTTGTCATTCTTGACCCTTTTTAGAATTTGGCTGCCTGGCCATCTGTCCAGACAGATTTGGTTGTGTACTTGTGGCATCAAACAACAGGGTGTTGCTCCTGGGTTATACAGGGATGTTCCTGGTTGCTCTTCTTGTGAAAACATGTACAACATTGCCTAGGGGGCCACAACTTTGTCCTGGCCAAAGAAAATGCGCCCTCCACACATTTCATGAAGTTTCTGGCACACAAAGTTTTTGTCTTCTACTCAAGTGTCACCTTCTTTTTATGAACTGACCAATCAGGAACAAACACCTAAAACCCAGGAACAAACCTAGACAAAAATCTCCTGTGATTTCTGACATACAGAAATGCAAAGATCCGCATATTTAGCTTAAAACCACAATATTCCCGCACCTGGAAATCTCTCATTTTTTGCCTTTTGTAGCGATTGCTTCTACATTTACAGGGAACAGCATCTGGCCAGCCTCCTGTTTGCTGTGGAAGCTCCTGCGATAAACGTACTGTCTGGACAGGCCATCTGTGTCCTCTTTTTCTCTCTTAGTTATCTCTATGTCAGCCTCAAATAACATGACTGTAGGTTACCTTCCATAGTTATACCCATTTGAGAACAAAAATGGCAATCTGAGATGTTAACCTGGCTTGTTAGTTCTGTTGTGTTCTCAAGTAACTATGAGAAAAGCTTCAGAAGAGGGCAGATATCTGTAAAATCTAGGAAAAGCTCTGTTGTCTTTCAGTGATAAATAATGATGAGTGAACAAAAATGGTGTATGGAAGTGTGAGATAGTATTAATTGATCCATATTAAAATGGAGGTTCACTGTTCCTTGGGAAAGCAGTTAACATATGTAATACTATCTTGCTGATTGTGTAATTGTTGCCTCATGTGAATAAGAGCTTTGGAATAAGTTTCTTTTTTGGATTACAACTTCCAATATTCCTTAGTTGACTTGGCCAATGGTCACATTGGCTGAAAGGGTTTGGGGAGTTTGGGTCCAAAAATGTAATTCTTCCAAGATCTGATATCATAGCAGGATATAAAATATCATCGTTTAGAAAAACAGGAACAAAAATAACAGTCCAGAAGGCAAAGCAATCAAGATTCATTCTGAACTATAAAGAGATTAGGGATTTGAATACTTATTTTCTTGGACTAGACAAACCAAATACCCCCTGCCAAAATTGTCCAAAATGTATTTTTTTTCTATCTTCTGATTAAGGGAGCATTGCAACAGTTCATGTTTGTGGAGAATGTGAAAAGTTCTCTCAGAACAGCCTTTTTCTGGTCCGCTGAAACATATTTCCAAAAAATGCATATACGATTCCAAAGTCATACAGTACAATCTTTGTTACGACTACTAAAGCCTATGTGTTCATGCCATTTCATTGCATTTCAGAAAATTCATTACACTCCACCCCATCCTTTGTTATCTGCTTGGACTGTCCACTTTCCCCCTTCTACCTGACATCCTATGTGTGCTCCATAGGGTTTCCTAATCCTCCATAACTCCTTGCCCAAATGTTGCCAACGTATAGTTAAAGCGAGCCACTGAAAAAGGACATTTGGAAGTGAGGAGGTTCTATGCATTGTCGAAAGCTTTCATGGCTGGAATCATTGGGTTGCAGGTTTTTTGGGCTATATGACCATGTTCTAGAAGCATTCTCTCCTGATATTCTCTCCTGACATTTCACCTCATCTATGGCAGGCATCCTCAGAGGTTGTGAAGTCTAAGCTTCTCCCTTTTCTCATAAATACTGTTGGGTTCCCACCAGCTTTGGTGGATTATTTATTTCCGCTTCTAAAATGGTGGAACGCCTTTCCTAAAGCTTGGCTACTGGCAGTAAGAGCTTTAGCTAAAATATGATGGTATTTTTTGATTACTCCCATCACTGGAATGCAACCCCTGAGAACATCTCTTTAAATTGAATTCCCGCTCTCAGACTAGACGAGGTTTCTCCATAATTGAGGCGTATGAAGCACTTATGTTTAATATCCCTATTCTATGTACATTTATATCTGTTAGTTCAAGAATGCATCCAGGTAACCAGCTCCAGTCCCTGTGAGCTAATAATCCATTTGCTTGTTTCTGAGGTCCTACAAAGCTACGATTCTGGAAAGCATTACCCAGAAACCTTGTTGCCTGACTAACCCTTTCTTCCCTGGCCTTCTCAAACAAGAAGAGTATGCACGAACTGCAAAACAGAAAAAGAAAACTTTGTGTCACTCTAGATGTTGTTGAACTGCTATTCCCATCAACCTTACTTAGCATGACCGTTAGTGAGGTATTATGGGAGGTGTAGTCCAACACCTGTTGGTGGGCCACAGGCTCCCCTCTTCCAGCATCAAGTTTTGGAGGCTTTTTATCAGTAGTGGAGCAATTGCCGAGCCAGCCAAGCTATTTGCAGCAGCCACTTCAAATTCCTGATTGCGAGAACATTGTGACCTAAGGACCAGTGGCAATCCACAAACCACTAGCTGCTGGTCTTCAGTGTGTTTTCAGGATAGGGGATAAAACCAATTGTGGTCAATGAGCACACATGTGAAAATAGTCCCAAGAACAAAATAGACAAAAGAGTTATGTGTCATCTCTTTTGCCAGTGGTTGTAGGCACTGACTTGCCCGCTCTCCATTTTTGCAGGAAGAAAACATGTTATACAAGAGGTGCCACTGCACTCCGACATGCCTCTCAATTCCAGCTAAAGCACAATGTGGGCGGGTCAGGTATGTGTCCCTCCCAATTAGCTGTGAGGGCACTGCCTGGCGTGTTCCTGGAGAAAGTCAGGCATCAAAGGGCTATGAACAGCTGTGCTGGTTTTCTGCCAGAGTTCCCACTGCTGCTCTCCTCCTACCTGAAACGGCTGTTACGGCGCCAGAGATTATTAGTTGGGGAGCCACTAAAAAGAGCATTGTGTGCTGCCGGCCCTTGGCATCAACTTTGTCCTAGGATTCCTTTGGCAGATATGGAGTAGAGGAAAGAAGGATGTGTTCTTGGGAACACTTTTTGAAAGTGGAGTTCATCATAAACAAATATAATGGCACCAATGGATTGGGGTGTTTTCATATTTGGCATAGACTCAAACCAAGCTGGTGGCTCAGGACATACCAGGGAAACCTGTCAGGACAAACCAGGGAAACCTGAAAACTATACTTCCCATCACACATTTCTCTGGTCAGATTCAAGGGAGTTCAGGGCTGGAGATTTGGAGTTCAACCACAGCTGGAAGTCTGCACATTCTCAGCAACCTAAGTGTTATGTTAGTTCAAATCTATACATTTTTTTTCTAATTTAAGAGCCTATAGCTTTATAGAACCTGAATTAGTATGCTCTCGTGTAAACTCTGCTGGATTTCATCTCCAGTCGGATCTTAGCTTTCCCCCTCCTTTTTCTTTTCACTATAAAATCCACATTTCTCTTTTTGTCTATATTTATGTATTTATTTATTTACTGTATTTGTATACACCCTTCTCAGCCCTCAGGCGACTCAAGGCGGTCCATAGCCTTGATGGGCAACTGTGTAATGTTAGGAGACTATGTTTAATCTACCAGGAGACCTTGGAGGGTCAAACTTCTCCATTGCTGAAAGAAAAATCCACTTGTTTGCTCACAAACACCCTCTGGGGAGTATGAGGAAGGCTTTCCTGAGCAAGCAGGAGAAGTAAATATAAATAATTTGTGGTTAATGTTTTGTTCCTAAAAAACTTCTCTTGGGCCTTAATTTGTTAGGTGAAGGGGTACAAAATGTGGTGGAAAATATTTTGAGGTATATGAAGGCCAAAACCCACCAAATTTTGTTTTGAAAGAGGCTACCAAACATCATGGTAATACCCTACATATCACCTACAGCACATTTTTTGGCAATTTTTTTGTTCCTGGGAGACAACAAAAATGGCTCTGAGGCTCCATGTAGCTTTTGAAGCACATTTTGCCCACACCTGGAGTCCAACCAGTGCGG